CCCCAAAACCCCAAAACCCCAAAACCCCTAGCATATTTATTCTTACAAATGAATCAAGTAATAAATAAAATTAAAACTTATACGAAAAATTTAGCTTCAAAAGCATTTAAGTTTTAACATTGCTATTAAAACAACCATAAATACTGATATAATATGTATAGAATTAGGGTTGACTTTGAGGGAACAATTTTTCACTTGCCAAAAATCGAAATTTTCATTTAAATTTCAAAACTGGCTATCTAGGCTCTTCCCTTTGAAATATAGTGTTGATAGTAGCTCCGAAGAGTCCCCCTAAGTCAGTCCAAAACTTTTAACTAGAGAGATCAGATGCAGACGAAAGTAATGATTTGATACGAGGGACATTATCATAAATATCTCCAGAACCATGAAACAGATTAGAAATCAGACTTAATGGATTTGTAATTGTGTACTAGTAGTCTCGTAAGTCACTGAAAATATTTCCTACGCTTTAAGAGCATGAAAATAGGATTGGATGGAATGTCCTCATTAGGTTTGATATCCCTTGTCCAAACATGGAGGCTTAAACTCCTGAAATTTCATAGGCAAGATCACTGAGATAATTAGTAAATAAAGTTAAATTTCCTGTGCATATAACTGGGTCCTCATTTTTCACTCCAAATGATTCTACAAGAAAAGAATTGAGAAAAGCCAGAGAGTTAAGGATGATAAGTTCCACAATGGTATGTTGGGATTATTCCTGCAGAATTGTCTATGAATTGATATCTCGTAATCTAGCCTCTGTTTTGCTGTTAGATGATTCTGAAAATGATCCGTCAAGAAAAGGCTCAATGTCAGTAAATGAATAGTAAAATCTGCCAACTTCATAGTATAACTCTTTTTACTGGTTTTTTTTTCCATATACTTTTATGTTTTGATATATTGAATTGTACACAATTATATTTCCCATTTGAGTTCTCAGGAATGCTATCCAGAAATCAGCTGGAGTAGGGAATTTGCTGAGCTTTTTAAGTGTTTCAATGATGAATTGATAGCCAGATGAATAGCAGTAATTGATTGAGCTGGCAGTTGAGTTGCTTAGAATTTGTGTGACACTAAATAAAATAATCTCACTTCTTTGCTTCAAGAATTTATCCTAGTTAATCGTCTAGTTGAAAATGTTGATCGTATACTATAGATCGTCATTACAGTTACGAAGTTAAGGTAATTAAATAAATGCCTAGCATCCAGTTAAAAAACTATTGAAAAGTTCGTAATCTATATCAGTTTTCGTTTTAGAACTTTGCTTTTATTATTCTAACCTATGAGTTTATAATTTCATCAAATATTGATAACTTTCAATAGATTCAAAGCTAGTAGTATTGCTGGAATTACTAAACTCGAATAATTGAGTTGGATAATTATCAGTTAATTTGGTTTGTACGATTAAGAGTGCTAGTGTCATTATTACCAAATAATTGTTTATGTTAGAATAAAATTTTAACCCATTTTTTTATGTTGCTTTAATCATGAATTTTAGTAATTTTTATCAAGATATCTAAGATTTTTAATTTATAACAGTTCCAATTAATTTAGCTCTAGTGGGGTTTTGGGGTTTTGGGG